AAGCAGTATTATTTGGAGCAAATATTCCCCCCCCCCTCTGATTCCATTAATGCATGAAAATTGAAATGGTACTATTAAGGGTGATTGTTTTGGATGTCGTGGGTCTCATACTACATCTGTGCCCCATTGGTGCTACACATCCTGCTGGTTAAAAACTAGCAAATGTACAGGGCTGCCCTACTAGATGCAGTCAGATAAGACAGTGGTTCTTAACGTGGGCGATAATGCCCCCCAGGGGGCGATTTCATTTTTCAGGGGGGCGGTAGAACGAAAAGGGGCGGGCTTTTCTTCTCATGAGATGGCCAAAGTGTCGTGGGTCTCACACTACATATGTGCCCCGTTGGTGCTACATATCCTGCTGGTTGAAAACCAGGAAATGTACAGGTCTGCCCTACTAGATGCAGTCAGATAAGAAATATATTTCTTCAGGAGAACTAGATGCGTGGCTTCTGTACTAAGAAATAAGCTTTTTCAGAAGCCACCCTCCACTTTCCACCAAGTGGATATACTTGATGGGAGATGGGAAGGGGGCGGTTTCTGAGGAGATTTCTCCACCACCTCCCACCAAGTGGACATTTTCAGCCTCATTCTAGATGACAATCTAGATTCTCACCCATTCTAGATGAGAGGAAACCTGCCCTCACCCTCCACCTTTAACGGGCGTCTCTTCCCTCGCAGGAAACGAGGTCTCCTCCTCCTCCTCCTCCTTGGACCACGGAGAAGGATGGCGTGGCTCACCCACATCCTGGCCTGCATCTTCGGGACTGGCTCTTGGATGGCCATCAACGGTGTGTGGGTAGAGCTTCCCCTGCTGGTGAACAAACTCCCGGAGGGCTGGTACCTTCCTTCCTACCTCATTATCATCATCCAGTTGGCCAACATTGGGCCTCTTTTCATCACCGTCGTGCACAAACTGAAGCCTGGCATGTTGAGCGAGGTGCCCGTCATCTTTGTTGTGGTCACGACAGGGGCCGTGGCTTGCTTCCTCTTGGCCTTCCTCTGGCATTACATCACACCTGTAGCCGGACGGATGCACAGCACACCTTTCTTTGTCTTGACTTTCTTCCTCTCCCTTGTAGACTGCACCTCCTCTGTCACCTTTTTGCCTTTCATGGCCCGCCTCCACCCCCGCTACATCACTACCTTTTTCATCGGCGAGGGCCTCAGTGGGTTGATCCCGGCTCTCTTTGCCTTGGCCCAAGGCTCGGGAATCGCTAGCTGCATCCAGGTAGCCACAACGAGCAACACAACCGCCGGCAACTCAACGTTTGGCAACGTAAGTGCCGAGGGTGTCCATTACCACATGGAAACACGTTACTCCCCTCCTAACTTCTCCAGCCTGGTCTTCTTCATCATCCTGTCTGCCATGATGTTCTCCTGCCTGGTGGCCTTCTTCTTCCTCAACCGCCTGCCCACGGTGTGGGAGCTGTCCAAAGAGAATCTTTGCTCCAGCGACATCACCCTCTACTCGATCCAGAAGATCCCTATGGATGGACAAGGACCAGCAACGGACTTAGGGGGCTTTACAAACTCCCCCATGGATGGAAAGGGGGAAAGCCCTACCAAAGGAGGTGATGACGCAGGTCCAGAAAAGGTCCCCTACTCCGGGGCTGAGTTTGCTTTCATCTACATCTTTCTTGCTTGGGTGAATGCCCTGACCAACGGGATCCTGCCCTCTGTCCAGAGCTACTCCTGCCTGCCCTACAGCAACCTGGCCTACCACCTTGCTGCCACGCTGAGCTCCATGGCTAATCCTCTTGCGTGCACCATTGCTACCTTTCTGCCCTGCAGGTAGGTTCCATTCATCCTGGCAGGGGCTTCAGAAAAGGCCGTTTTCAATGTTCTTTATACACACTCTACAACATGCAGATCTTGTTTTTAACCCAACTGAACTACCAAGGCTTTCCCCAAGGATGCAACTAGATATTGAAGGCCAAAGTGTACATTAACAGATACCCTGACATTATAGAATCATAGAATAATTGAGCTGGAAGGGGCCCAGAATGACATCAAGTCCAACCCCCTGCTCAGTGCAGGAATCCAAATCCAAGTAGATCAGACAGAGGATTGTCCCATTTCCTCTTCAATGTCTCCAGCGTTGGAGAGCTCACCACTTCTCAGAATCATGCATTCCATTGTTGTACTGCTCTAACAGTTAAGATGTTTTTCCTGATATTCAGCGAAATTCAGGTTCCCTGTAGCTTGAGCCCATTATTATGTGTCCTGCACTCTGGGATGATCGAGAACAGATCCTGCCCTTCCTCTGTAGGACTACCTTTCAAGTATTTTAAAAGTGTTATCCTATCTCCCTGCATTCTTCTTTTCTGAAGGCTAAACATGCCCAGTTCTTTCAGTCTTTCCTTATAAGGCTTGGTTTCCAGATGAAATCAAGTTAATGTTTCAGAAAGGTGAGTCCATCAAACTTTTGCAGCAGTGAAATCAAATATGCAAGGGAAGGAAACGCCTGCTTTCTTCCCAGTGACTACGTACAAAAGAAAGTAGTTACATTTGCAAACAGCGGGAAGTGTGAAAAGCTCCTGCTGTGACAATCAGACACTTCCATAACTTAAGGAATTTCCTCCTCTAAGCACATGTTTTCTGTAATGTATGATTGGGCCCTTATTCTAAGCCTCCAGCTGCCACCAAGAACCATTACTAGGGTATTGTATCTGTGGTGGTTGACCTTTAGAGGTTTTGCTGCTCCTTGTTTTCCTGCGCTATTCCCAGTAGTTGTATCAACTGCAGTATGTTTGGTGAAGAACCATAATCCCAAGGTGGAACAGGCGTTTTCCACCAGAAGCTTTGTAAAAGGTGAAGGTTTCCCTTGACATTTAACCCAGTCGTGTCCGACTCTAGGGCGCAGTGCTCATCCCTGTTTCAAAGCCGTAGCGCCAGAGTTTGTCCGTAGACAGTTTCCTTGGTCACGTGGCCAGCCCAACTAGACACGGAATGCCGTAACCTTCCCAACGAGGTGTTACCTATTTATCTACTCGCATTTTTACATGCTTTTGAACGGCTAGGTTGGCAGGAGCTGGGACAAGCGACGGAGCTCACTCCGTCGCATGGATTCGATCTTATGATGGCTGGTCTTCCAACCTTGCAGTACAGAGGCTTCTGTGGTTTAACCCGCAGCGCCACCACGTCCCTTAGGAGCTTTATACCACCTCACAAAGTCAGAAAAGGATTCTCACTAGAACACATTTTCCTCCTTTGTGGCAGGGGAAAACCCTAGATACTCAAAATACTAGATTAAAAAAAAACCTAGGTTATAAAAATACAAGAAACTAAAATTATTAAATACCAAATAAACTGTCTGCTGCTACCTTTTCATGACACCTGAAACTAAGCTCCCCAGTGGTGTGCTTGAGGAGTTAATGTCTGTGCTTCTGCCCTTTGTTTTGGCTTTCTGCAGTATATTTATTTATTTATTTATTTATTTATTTATTTATTTATTTATTTATTTATTTATTTATTTAGTTAGTTAGTTAGTTAGTTAGTTAGTTAGTTAGTTAGTTAGTTAGTTAGTTATTTGATTTCTACACCGCCCATCTGGTCTATTCAACCACCTCCTTGCCCATTTGTAGGCCTCTTGAGGTTTGTGTGTGTGTGGACAGGGACACCAGAAAAAACACCTGTTAAAGGGGGAAAGACAGGGTCAATGCAGATTCCTTGCGGTCGGAAGGTAGGTAGGTAGGTAGGTAGGTAGGTAGGTAGGTAGGTAGGTAGGTAGGTAGGTAGGTAGATAGATAGATAGATAGATAGATAGATAGATAGATAGATACATAGATAGATAGACAGACAGATAGATAGACAGATAGATAGATAGATAGATAGATAGATAGATAGATAGATAGATAGATAGATAGATAGATAGATAGATAGATAGATAGATAGATAATGGGTGGAAATTACAACGAGTAACTTTCCAAATTTCTGGTCTGGAAGTTCTGGTCCAGAAGCGTCATTTTCTCCCACTCGCTACCCGAATTCCCAACCCGAGTCAGTGAAGGACCGTCCCACCTTCCCAGGCATGACGCATGTCTTTTTTCTCTTGCTCAGGTCTCTCCCCGTCCTGGGAGTCCTGACGGCCATCGGAACAGCCTTCGGCACTTACAACATGACTATGGCAGCCCTCAGCCCCTGCCCCGTGCTGCAGCACTCAGACTGGGGAGACGCACTCATTGTAAGTAGTTGACTGGGAAGCCTCAGGTGGCTCAGGAGTTCACACGAGCCGCATCGGAAGGGAACAGAGGCCTAACAGGGGGAAAAAAAGAAGTGCCATTCTAGGAACCCTATGGGGATGGCGGTTGGCTTTTTAAATAGATTCCAGGCCCCTTAGAATAAGGGAGTGGGAAGGAGCGTATAGAGTCATTGAGTCCAACCCCCTGCTCAAGGCAGGAATCCAAATCAAAGCACATCTGCCAGGTGGTTGTCTAAAGTTCTATTGAAGGGCTCCAGTGCTGGAGCTCTCATCATCTTCCAAGGTCACTGGTTCTACTGTCGGACTGCTCTAATAGCTAAGACGTTTCTCCTGATATTCAGCTGAAATCTGTCTTCCTGTAACTTGAGCCCATGGTTGCGTGTCCTGTACTCTGGGATGATCGAGAACAGATCCTGCCCTTCCTCTGTATGACGACTTTTCAAATCTTTGAAAAGTGTTCTCCTATCACCCCTCAGCCTTCTTTCCCCAAGGCTAAACACCTTGAGTATTGTGCCCAGTTCTTTCCCCAAAGGACATATTTTCTAGTCCCCTGATCCCCCTTGTTGCCCTCCTCTGAATTTTTCCAATTCCTCAGCATCCTTATTGAAATGCGGTGTCCAGAACTGGGCACAATACTCAAGGTGTCTTTGAAAAGTGTTCTCCTAGCACCCCTCAGCCTTCTTTCCCCAAGGCTAAACACCTTGAGTATTGTGCCCAGTTCTTTCCCCAAAGGACATATTTTCTAGTCCCCTGATCCCCCTTGTTGCCCTCCTCTGAATTTTTCCAATTCCTCAGCATCCTTATTGAAATGCGGTGTCCAGAACTGGGCACAATACTCAAGGTGAGGCCTAGAGTGGATGAGTAGTCCAGATAGGCGGGGTATAAATCAAATAAATAATCAGTGCTGAATAGAGGGGGACTAGGACCTCGCGGGATTTGGAAACTATGCTTCTAAACAGCCTAAAATTGCATTTGCCTTTTTGGAAGCCTCACCACACTGTTGAGCGTTTCAGGTTTTTACAACAATTCCAGAATCTTTCTTTCCAGATATTCTCCCATCTTGTAACTGTTGGGTTTTTTTTTCAAAACTAGAAATGGACTTCTAGTCAATTCTGGTTTTGATGATTGTTGTGGGTTTGTCAGGCTCTTTGGTCGTGTTCTGAAGGTTGTTCTTCCTAACGTTTCGCCAGTCCCCTGGCTGGCATCTTCAGAGGACTGGAGTAGGAACTCTGTCCATGCTCATGGGCAGCACAGATAACCATCAGATCCCGGCCGTGAAAGCCTTTGAGAATAAATTCTGGTTTTCCTTTTTCATAGTTGGGGAGGTGATTTATGTGGCTGCCCAAGGAACTCAGAGGCAGGAAATAGGCAAAAGTGAACACCTCACTCCCTTCTCTTTGCTAACAGGTGATCTCCTGGGCGTTCTTTGCCGGGATCCTTACCTACGTCAAGGTGATGATGGGGGTGATTCTTCGAAGCCACAGCCACAGCGCCCTCGTGTGGTACGGAGCGGTGGAGCAGCTCGGCTCTCTGGTGGGCGCCTTGGTCATGTTCCCCTTAGTGAATGTCTACAGCCTCTTCAGGTCAGCGGATTTTTGCAGCTTCCACTGCCCAGCGTGACACACACACACCCTAGGGAGGAGACCCAAATCATGCAACCAGAGCCTTCTTGATCAAGCCGCCTGCGGATTTTACAGCGGAGCGCCCCTCTAACGGATGCAGCCGCAGTCAAGATCTCTCTCAACGATCAAAGAGGAAGAAGCCAAGATATTGATCAATGGGGCTGCCAATAGTATATTCCTATAAAGGACTGACACCCCCCAAGCCATGGGGTGGGTGGGTTTGGCTGGTGGACAGTCAAATTCACTCTAGGCTTTCTACTGCATTCAGGGCCAATGAATTGATTGCTGGATCTCCTCAAGAGGGGATCAGCCACCACCACCTCCCACCCTTCCCTCGAGAGAGGCAGGACCTGCTGCAGATCCCTGAGAAGACTCTCACCAGGCAGCTGCCGGAAACCCTCTAAATAAATTGGTTGTTCCCAAGACGTGTGTGTTCTGCCTGTGCTTTGTGGTCAGATTTCAGTAACACAGACTCTGTATCCAATCCCAGCAACACCTGGTTCACAATCTTGAGGTTTCCCAGGATTTTTCCAGGCAGAGAATGCACCAAAGTGCTTTGCCCATGGCCTTCTTTTGGAGATGCCTTGGGACTTTGTGCAGCTGGCCCAAGGCCATCCAGGCTGGCTCTTCTCCCAGGAGGCCTCAGTGGGGGAATCAAACCCCCAACTGGTGGCTCCATAACCAAATCCCTAAATCACTGAGCTATCCAGCCAGCTAATAATGATTTGCCATCGGGTCAATTTTGAATTATGGTGATCCTTTTCATGTTTTTCTAAGCAGAGAGTACTCAGAAATGGTTTTCCATTCCCTTCTTCTGGGGGGTGGCGGCTTTGGGATGGTGCAGCTTGCCCAAGGCCATCTAGGCTGGTTCTACACGTAGGATGCTCAGTGGGGGAATCGAACTCCCCACCTCTGGATTTGCAGCCAGATATCTGAACCACAGCTACCAACATATCAGATTCCTAGTCCTCATTTCTGTCCAAAAAGGAACTCTAGCCGCCTTTTCAGGAGGGATGAGAGTTGAGCTGGCACTGCATTTAATCTACTGTCACACACTCCCCCGGGTGGGGGAATGTTGGTTCGTGGCAGTCGGGTTGGTGGCAAGGTTTGATAAGAGAAGCTTTGGCCAAGGGTGCACATTGCCACCCTCTGCATACAATCAGCGTTCATGGCGACCGAGGTTGGAAACAAGGAAAGATAAGGGGGAAAGAATAAGTCTCCTCAGGTATTTCTCACAGAACCACCATGTTGTGACCAGTTAGAGCAGGCTTTCCTTAAATCATCATCCCTCCTCGACGTGGCGAGAAGGCCGATGGTCAAGGCTAGGCTTGAACCCTGGAACAACCTGCAACTAGACAACCCTCACAAAGAGGATGACCGAACACCACCTGGAGTATTGTGTACTGTTCTGGTCGCTGCACCTCAAAAAAGACATTGTGGGACTGGAAAAGGGGCAGAAGAGAGAGCGACTCAAATGAGGACTGGGCTGGGGCACTTCTCTGATGAGGGGCTCTTGAAAAAGGCGCCGGGGGGGGACAGGATTGAGATGTATAAAATGATGCAGGGGATGGATGAAGTGGAGAGAGGGAAGCTCTTTACCCTCTCACGCAAGACCAGAACCTGGGGACATCTGCTCAAAATTGAGTGTTGAGAGAGTGAGAACAGACCAAAGAAAACATTTCTTGACCCAGCATGCGGTTAGTCTGTGGAACTCCTTGCCACAGGATGTGGTGATGGCATCTGGCCTCAATGCTTTTAAAAGGGGATGGGACACCAGTGCCCAGGAAAGACAGACAGACTTGGCTACAATGTTCTGTTCCAAGGGGGGAGGAAGAGGAGGAGGAAGAAGAAATCACAGCAGCAACAACAAGAAAACAACTGTTGCGTGCCGAACAAAATCGACTGGATGTCCACCCGAAAAGATTGGGTCTGTTCAGTAAGAGTGAAAGCATCACCTGGTCCATGGAAAACAGCCCAAAACAGTCGGCACACACAAACAGACAAACAGTCGGGCCATCTGAGAGATCTTTGTTGGGTCACTCTGGGAAATAAGCTGGGAAGGTCCCCAGAAATGTTCCCGTCCCCTTTCACCCCTTCTGGCCTGTTTGGCCTCGGTCGGGGAGGGGACGCGAGAGGGAGGGGTTCCTCATCCACGTAACTCTCCATCCAGGGATCAGGGCGGCTGGCAAGGCTTTGGGACAGGAGCCCCAAGTCCGAGTCTTTGGGACCAAGTCCTAAGTCCAATTCCAAGTCTTGGGTACCAAGTCTGGAGTCTCAAGTCCCAAGTCTTTTCCCCCCGGGGGAAAATAAAGAGGGGTGCAGTGGGTTCCAAGTCACGAGTCAAGTCTGAGTCATTAACAAAAGACAACCGAGTCACGTCCCCGGTGTGACTGAAATTCGACTGGACAGGGAGTCCCACGATTCGTGTCCTTGCCACTTGCCCTACCAAGAGAGGAGGATCCCATCTAGGATTCGGACAGGTCCAAAGGAGGGTATTGTATTCCCATGATCTCTGCTAGGACGCAGCTAGAGTTCTACAGCCCCCCTTTTTTTAAAAAAAGGGGTGGATGCTCAGGGCATGAAATGGCCCTGTGGCTATTTGGGACCTATCTTTAAAAAAGGCGACTGGGAGGTGGGATTCGCCTCTTGGAGCAGGTGGGAAAAAGAGAGGGTTACTGCAAAGCTAGGCATCATCCTGCAAGGGACGTGATGGCATTGCGGGTTAAACCACAGAAGCCTCAGTGGGATTCGCCTCTTGGAGGAGGTGGGAAAAAGAGAGGGTTACTGCAAAACTAGCATCATCCTGCAAAGGACATGGTGGTGCTGCGGGTTAAACCGCAGAAGCCTCTGTGCTGCAAGGTCAGAAGGCCAGCTGTCATAAGATCGAATCCACACAAGGGAGGGAGCGCCCGTCGCTTGTCCCAACTCCCACCAACCTAGCCGTTCGAAAGCATGTAAAACTGTGAGTAAATAAATAGGGATCACCTCGGTGGGAAGGTCACGGCATTCTGTGTCTAGTCGCGCTGGCCACATGACCACGGAAACGGTCTTCGGACAAATGGAGTCTCTACGGCTTGGAGACGGGGATGAGCACCACGCCCTCGAGTCGGACACGACTGGACTCAAGGTCAAGGGGAACCTAGGCATCATCCCACACATGGCTCTGCCCTGATCTAGGGGCATGGTCTGGCCCCGCTTTGAGAACAGGGCAGAAGTAAACGGCTGAAATCAGCTTTCTCTCTCTGTGCCCATTTTGCAGCTGCCGCTAATTCCTCCTTCCCCCGAAGCAGTTTCTTAAGGAAGCGTGCCACGGCACCCCCGAGCACATCCAGGCCCACACGCCAGTGCCTTTTCCCTTCCTTTCAGCCTCTCCTGTAGTTAATCACAATTAGGCGGTGCCTGTCAGCTCCGTCCTCTGGATCATCAATCAGGCAGGGAGCCAGGCGACGGGGGTGGCACAGGGAGCTGCCGGTGACCCACTTCCCATCCGGCGGGCTTGTCGGCCCGAGCGAGCGCCTGGCGCACTTGATGCCCCTGGAAGGGAAGCGCAACCTTTTCACCAGCCAGGCAGAGCGCCTTCCCTCTCCCAAGGGGTCCCATTAAAAAGAGGGGGTCGCAGTCTCTGCAGCTGTGAGCGACACTGTGCGAGGCATCTTCTTCCCATCCTTCCCGCTCAGAGCCCAACTCCGGATTTGGGTGGTTTTCCAATAGTACGTCTGATATACATGTTTATGTGCTCCAGTACCATCTCTGTACTGTTTGCCGTTCAATAATATCGTGCTGTCAAGTCCATTCTGAAGTTCAATAATAATATCGTGCTGTCAAGTCCATTCTGACTGACAGTGACTCTTTTTATGGTTTTCCAAATAGAGAACACACACAAGTGTTTTCCCCTTCCCTTCCTCCAGGGGGCGCCCTCGGACAGTGCAGCTGGCCCAAGGCCACCCGGGCTGGCTCTGCTTCCCGAGTGGCAGAGTGGAGGAATCGAACTCCCAACCGCTGGCTCCGTTTCCAAACTCATTGAGCTATCCAGCCAGCCTGATCGTTCAATAAAAGAGAGAGAGAGAGGATGTGGCTAGACATGAAGCAGGATCACAATGAATTGCATGGAAAAATGATCCCTTCACGGGGTGGGATCTCACTGTGATCCATCTTCCTCTGCTCACCTTACATTGTCATCATGGCTCTAAGGAAAAATTACCCTGCCGCTGAACCGATAAAGGTACAGATGTGCAGGGAAGAGGCTGATTCGTACTACAGTGGTGCCTTGGTAGACGATGATAATCCATTCCACTGAAACCGCTCTTTAGCGATTCCCCATTGGAATCCACTGAAACCTGTTTAATGCGTTCCAATGGGGAAGAATCATCGTTGTCTAGCAAAGATCGGCCATAGGAAAGCCGCTTTGCAAACTGCCGATCAGCTGTTTAAATCACTGTCTTGCGAAGCTTAGGTCCAGAAAACACCCGTTTTGCGAGCGCGGAGGGAGCTGTCAAAATCATCGTCTAGCGAAAATCGGGTTTACGAAGCAGGGACCAAACATTGTCCAGCGAAATTCCCCTATAGGAATCACTGTTTTGCAAATCGCTGTAGCAATCGCAAAAAGTCAATGTCATGCGGGGTAACTGTCTGGCGAGGCACCACTGTAAATGTATGTTGTGTAAGAATCATTACCATGTGCCACCCACTCAGTTCTGACTCATGGTGACCATTTTTCAAGTAGAGAATACTCTGAAGTGGTTTTCTCCTTCCCTTCTTCTGGGACCGCACATGTTGCCCAAGGCTACCCAGGTTGGCTCTTCTCCCTGGAGGCTCACCGAGGAATCGAACTTGGCTCCTCAGCCACTTACCTAAACTCCTGAGCTATTCAGACAACGACATGGTGTAGTCCCCACAAAACAGATCACACTTCGTTGCCCCAACCCGGGGGGGGGGGCAAAATTTACTTATGTATTTCATTTAAAATATTTGTTACCCCGCCTTTCTCCTTGAACAGGAACCAAGGCGGCTTACAATGACGGAAGGCAATATTTAAAGTTGAAGACAATTAAACAACGGCGGTTCACATCATCGAAAGTCGATATTTAAAACGACAAACCATGAACGAGAAGGCATCTTACATCATGAGCAAGCAACATTAAGGCAAAGATCAATAAGTTTACGGAAATTTTAGATATGTCACTCTGAGAAAGGGAAAACACAAAAATGGAAAGCACACATCGTGCTAAAAATCCAGTCAAAGCAGTAATGCCTAGCCAATCTCTCAATAAATCACACACAAGTAGCTGGTTTACTGAGGGAAAGCTTGCCTGAAGAGAAAGGTGTTTGCTTGTTTGCAGAAGGACAGCCGAGATGGGGCCAGTCTGGCTTCCAGTGGGAGGGAGTTCCAACGTCTGGGAGCAGCCACAGAGCAGGCCC